AAGGAAGACACTATTTCCTAAGAATAGTGACAAAACACTACCAAAAAACGTTTAATAATAATAATAATAATAATAATAATTTTTGTATTGAGTATTATTTGAAGTTAACTAATTCGAAAAGTATATTGTGCATCAGGGGACGACAATTCTACATAAGCTCCCCTGATGCACAAGCATCCATCTTTCGCACAAAAAGAATAAAACTAACCATGAAAAATTATTTTTCAACAATATTATATTAAAATTTTAAAATTTATTTATTTTGTAACGATCCCCATGTTAATAGATTATATATTTCTAAAATTAGTGGGTTCAAAATCCACATAAAAAATAGGTCATGGTTAGAGTACGCACATCTACATATAAGTTGGTTGACTCATATAAACCATCTCCTAACTGATTTCACCAATGTTTTCTAAATAGCCTCGGGTCTCGGACTGAGCAACCCACAAATCATCGTAAAAAACATTCGAAGTATATATATATATATATATAACTTTTGGGATAGTATAAGGTCAGCTTACAAGCTGACAGTTATAGTAATGCCCAAATGGCTTAAACTGAATTTTGGCCTATCAAATGGTCATGATTGTATTTTGTATTTGAATTTTAATTTGTTTCTATTAACCCAAATCACGTGAAATTCGAAGTGTATATTCTTAAAAAACAGATGAATATAATAAAAGTCTTAAAAAAGTAATTAATAAAAAATGTATTGACCAAAATATCTTTGAAAACTTTCTGAAGCATTTTGATCAATTTATTTATGCGAAGTACTTTTTTAAATATTTTTATTAAGTGTGCCTTAATAAGAAGAGTGGACACTCAAAATTTTATGTGATTTAGATTTTTATAAAAAATATTAAAATTTAAATACAAAATGCAGTCGTGACCATTAAACTTACACTAATCCATCAATTCATGGGTGGCATGATCTTATCTCATAACTTTTTATATTGATTCCACATTCATGTATAATTTCCACATTTTTTATTTTTTAAGTTGCCCGAGAAGCACCCAAGTACTCAACATGGCAAGGAGCAGAGTCCGAGTGACTCAATTGAGTTTTAAACCACTGAATTCACTATGCAAGGGAGGGACAATTTCTGTTGTACCACAATTTTTTTTTCCTTTTTTGTCTTTTGTGGTTATATGGCAATGACATCATCCAAATGAGATCCTTGAGGGGAAAATCAGATCACCCACCTAAACCAATCCAAATCATCAAAAAATATCACTAATCAAAAAGTTTTGTATTAATAAATGAGTAATGATCCTATGAGACCCTCCCACACTCATGTGTGTAGGACTTTAAAGGATTACCATTAAATTTCGTACAGATCTCTAAAAAAATTAGCACACATGAAACTTGATTTTTTTAAATATCTGTAATGGGGATCTTTTGAAGTCCTACATACATGAGTGTAAAAAGATCTCATAATATCATTAATCTTAATAGATATGGTCAATGAATTTTTAATTAATATTAATCAAGTCAACGAAATACTCCAGGAAAGGGAGCAACCTCAAATAACCCTCCTTTTCCCTTTATTTTTCTCTTTGTTTGAGCTCTTGTATTGTAAATTCTAAAAATTTTAAAGCCGGCCGGCCGGCTATGGAAGAAAAATAATTTATTCGTTAATTAAAACATTGAATAAAACTATTATTTAGCTTTGATATGATAGGTTTAGAAAGTATTTTGATCCTCATAATTAAATTATTTAATTCTTTAAATATTGAGTGTCATTTTTATGCTCACGTCAAAGGTTGTTGCTTAATTTCTATATGCATTGAGTGATAGAAATTATATAATATTATTTTGTCAAAAGGGTTTGGTATTTCATGGAATAAAAAAGATTGGTTCTCACGTTTCAAGACAGACAAAGGATTGGTCGTCTCATTTCATATTTCGCGAAATTTTATCCCGAAATCCGAGTAAACGGCGGTAACGACGAAAGTTAACTAAACGCGGGAAGAGCGTGTTTAACTCTTCGAATAAGCATTTTAATTTGTGCAAAACTTCAAACTTTTTGAATTTGTGCAAAACGTCAAATTTTAAAAAGAGGTCAAACTCTTCATTAATTTTCAAACATAATAAAATTTTGCTTCCAAAATTCGAAACGAAAATATCGCCGAATGTTTGGCCTTATTTTCGGTTAGTCCGTTTGAGTGCCCTCTTTGTTTCCACCCAAATGACTTTAGAGAGCCTATTCACCCCAAAAAAAGACTTGAGACCCTGATTGCAAGGTTATGATTAAGATACGACTTTTAAGAAAAATTAATTTTTCACATCCATTAAAAACTTTTGTATTTTCAAAAGGACCTTTAAAAAATTGCCTTTTTTTTTGTGGAGCCAATATAGAGGCATATTTGTCTCTTTTTTTTTTTTCTTCAAAAAACCTTCTTCTATATAACTTTAATTCTCTTTGTCATTGATTTGATATCTTTGAAAATTTATTTTTGAGAAAAGCACATTAAATTGTGATTGAATTAAGCATCTTGATATAATAAAAAAATTCACCAATATATTTCCTTTAAAATTTATATTAGAAAACCAAATCATTCCTAGAAAAAATACTCTTCCAAAGCACCTATATATCTAAAAAAAGAAAGATAGAGTTGGAGGATGAATAACCTAATGAAAAATCTTCTTTTTCTTTAAACCAAGAGTACCATTATAAATAGATACTTAATTAAAACTAAAGATTTAGGCAACATGAAACTAGGAGTGACAGTTGAGTGTTTGAGTTTTTGAGTTTTTGTTTGTATACACATTGTCCAGTACAAGTAAGTTGTTGGTTACTTGCTCTCTACCTACAAAAGTTTGATTCATTTTATTATTTTTTATTTTTTTGTTATTTTATTGATATATACAACAAAAAAATTAGATTGACCATTTTTTTTCCAGATTTAATGGATTCTATTTTTTATTTTTTTTGTTAATTGCAATCCTATGCTAAGGCTCTTTTTTTTTAACAAGAATCCTAGACCTTGGGTTACAAATTTTTTAGTTTGTTCATGTAATTACCATGTTGAGTTTTGTGATATTATTTCCTTGTACACTCCCAATAAATTTGTTGTATGTTCTTGTATCATGACAGTGGAGGAAGCATTGTTCTTGTATCAAAAGAATTCAACAAAAAATTTTGCCAAGTAGGAACCTAAATGGTTTATATATAATTATTGTTCAATGAATTCAATATATCTTTATAATAACTGTAAATCATAATTCTATCACATGTCATCTTTGTATATTTGACTTTTACTCCATTTTTTTAGCCAACTCCGAAGTATTTACCATTATTTAACTTACATAATTTTTAGCAATTCATTTTTTTTCCCTGATTTTTTGCCATCAACTTTTTTGACAAAACCTAATTTATTACTAGTATTTTAGTTTTTTGATAATTGAAAAAAAGCTCTAATGACGTTGATGACTTTGACTTTCCAATTTATTATTAATCCTTGGGAATAAAACAAATAAAAATTCTATTGGGAAAGTGATTGTTGTATGGAAGTATTCATACCTTCGTCATTATTTTTCATTGGGTCTTGCAAAAAGAAGGAAATTTTTTCCAAAGAATAAAATGAAAGTCTATGATCAAGTTTCCTATGGTTGTATATTCCACGGGCAAGGATGAGTCCGACCCGGCAAATTTTTTTAAGGAAATTCTAAATATTAGAAAATTTTAGGAGACTGGATGATTCTTAGATTTCGGCTCAGAATCGATGATTTTTTAAACATTGCATCACAACTTAAACATGATTTTCAAACATTGAATCTTGAATTTATGCTATTTGCTTATCACAACGTACACGTATAATTTTTCTGGGAAATTGATCAAATTACCTATGAGAAATGAAAATTTTAACATTTTACTCATATTTTTTATTTAATTTTAAAATACCTATAAAAAACAACAAAAATACAAAACACACCATCTTTGGAATAGTTGCAAATAGCAAAAGAAAAATTGTTTCATGTTGGTTGGACCGCATTTCTACATTTACATTTAAGAAAGTGTAAAGCATCCATTTTAAAGACGTATGCAAGTAGGTGTTCCATCTAAGAACAATAGAAAATATTCCATCTAAAAACAATAGAAACTAACGGTGGAAATGTTTTCTTATTATAATTATTATTTCTAATTGAAAAAAATTTATGTATTTATTCATATTCATTATCTCCATTTTAGATATTACATGACCTTAGAATTTAACCGGGTCCATTACTAAAATGCTTAGTTCATCTCTTGGGCATTTTAACAATTTTTGTAAAAAAATTGAGAAAGAATTGTAAAGGTAATTTGGTCATTCTCAATGATATTTTGTACAAACATTAGATACGCTTGTATTTTGGTCATTCTCAATAATATTTTTTAACAAACATTAGATACCCTGGTCAAAATCCAGAGAAGCAATCCTTAACCGTAAGCGGGAGTATTTAAATCTACGGTCCAGAACACCGTGATGCGTACGTGTTAAAATCAGCACCGTCCGACAAACAATTTCAAATCCGGTATAACCACAGGCATTCCTTAATATAAAACCGGTATTCAAAACGAGAATTTGACCGAAATTTCGTTCAACCGGAGATTTGAAACGACTTTGACTGCTTCACAAAACGAGATGCTATATGGGCCGCCGATTCAAAACGTGTCGAAATCGTGGATCTCCACGTCTTCGCCGTCCACTTAACGCCTGCTGCTTTGTGCTGGACGTGGCTTGAAACTGACGGTGTCAAATTACGGTGGTCAAACTACGGATTAATCCGATATAAGCACTATTTAATCCTTGTTTAATAATATTTTATAATTTGAAATTTTAAAAGACTTAACCCTTTTTTGGTGAATTTTTCCATTTTATTTTGATCGAAAAGGGAGCCTATAAAAGAGGGCATTTCAGCGAGCTTCCCAATCTGTTCTCTTTTTTTTTTTTTATCATTTTTTTCTTTTTACTCCTTTGATTGCTTTCTCTCTCTAACTCAATAGTTTAATCGGCCTCTGTTCTTTTCCTTCTCTCTCTCATTGGTTTTTACCATTTTTCCCCGGGATTTTCTCTCTCTAACCCTTGCAGTTTCTCGGTCTTCTTCTTTGGTTTTACCTTTTCTCTGCTCTCTCCTTCTCTCTTCAAGAATGGCATTTTCTCAGTGTTTTCTGGATTTACCATTCGTTTTGATTGCTCTCTCTCTCTAAAAAGTTAATATTTTGCTTCTCTCTCTAGATCTTTTCTTATCTCTCACGTCACAGCCTGTCTTTTTATGGCGATATTCTCTGTAAAATCTTATCGGCTTTGACCGGGGAACCTTCTGATATAACTGCTCCCCGTGTCCTCTAATGGCTATTTAATTTCTCTCTCTTCGCTTTGTTAAAACTTCGAAGTATTCGCGTTTCTCATTCCCTGCGTATCTCTCTGTTGAAGCTCAATTTCTAATTAGTGGAGATTTTGGGCTTTCATTCTTCAAATAACATACAGCTATTCTTCTCTTCTTCGTATTATTCTTTATTCATAAGAGAACCAGAAAGCTTCATCACTATGAAGTCTTCTTTGAAGAAGCTCAGAGGATTTACAATTCATAAGAGCGATGCAAGGAAAGAGGACTACAGGCCTCTGTCTCAGTTAGATGAGCTAGAACAAGCTTCAAAGGTATTTATTCTTCTCATCTGGTTATTCACAATGAAACATCTTGCTTTTGAAGTAGTACAGAGTTTAGTCGTATACCATGCTGAATTTGTCGAAATTACAACCTTTGTGATTGAAAATGGATGTTAATTGTATATAGTTATATGTCAATTACTGCAATGGAAATTCGAAATGGAAAGGATCACTAATTTAAATGCAAAGTCAATGAAAAGGATTTCTATCATAGTTCCTGTTACTAAGTTTTTTATTCTAGCTCCAGTTGAAGTTAAATTGCTATCAATATTTGTGTACCAGACTGAAAGGATTTTCTTCATTTTCACTATCAACGTTATTTGCTTTTACAATTCAAAATGTTTAGGCTTTTCAGCCCTAATATAGAGCGATTAAAACTACTCCAATTCAAATTTCCCTGTTTGCGTCGTTTCTTTTTCTTTTCTTGTAGGACATGGAAGAAATGAGAAGTTGTTATGATAGCTTCCTTATTGCAGCGGCTGCTACTGCTAATAGTGCATTCGGTAAATTTCTCTCACCTCAAATGTGATTAGTTACTGCACAGTTTTTCTACTGATATGTCATTATATATCCCTTTTCATATCCTTGAGGTAGTCGTTTATATGCTGATATGCGTGTCTTTTTACTCTTCAATGGCCTTTGTCTTTGCTAAGAGTCTTGGTTATATTAGCATATGTTATTAGCTTTAAAACTTTGGATGCCATGCTATGCCTAATCTACTTGTGCTATATTTTGTTTATGTTTGATTTTCATTTGAATAATCTCCTTTCCAGTACGAAGTTAATGCTTTGATGAGTTTTTGTGGTAACTAATGCATTGAGTAATATGTGTTTGGCGTTCAATTTCTTCAGCCTTTCGACTTTAAGAACCTTATGGTTATGAACGTATATTGTCATCTCAAAAGCTGTTGGAGTTGGTGATGTTACTAATTTAAGTTTGGTATGCTTCTCCTTGTTTTACCTATAAAATTTGAGTATAACATTGAGTTGTACTACAAGGATGCATAAATAGAGCATGTCGATTGCCGCACATCTGAGGCACTCTTGTAAGGAATTATCTTTCAGAAGATATACAATGTACAACATTCAAATACTCATTGCAACATTATTATGTAACAAGGAGAGCACTCAGATACGCATTACAAGATCATTACATTAATTCATGAGCATAATGGAAAAGGACAGGAAATGGAAAGAGAATTTCTATGTTGAGTTTGATTCTCCAAAAAGGCAACAGTTTCTTTTTTTTTAAAATGTAATTTGTAGCTTTGAGTCTTTTTGAGTCTCCAGTAGGTGTAATGCATCTCCAAACCTAATTTCATAGCAGAATATTGTTTCAATGGTCTTCAAATAAGCTTTTGTAAATAACTTCTATGAGGTAGTCTTGCCCTTTGTTTTATGCAAGTTCTCATTGGTAGCAAGCCTGCACATTTAAGGCTGCAAGGAAATATTTTTTCTTGTGACTCTCAAGTCCTGGATGGATCCTTCCGAACTTTGTTCAATTAATAGATCATTAACCTCTCTTTCTTTCATTGATATCACTCTCATTCTTATCATATTCTTGTTGTTTTTGAGTCTTAACTTAAATGAATATGGAATTGTTTGCAGAATTTTCAGAGTCATTGAAGGAAATGGGTGCCTGTCTACTTGAAAAGACTGCATTGATTGATGATGAGGATAGTGGTAAGTGCTTGGAGAATCATAATTATATTATCATGGAAAATTGGCCTAGGAGAAAGGAGTTCTTAAATGATCCAGAAACACGTTGAACTGTTTGGAAAAAGCATGGCTCCCAAGGGCTATCATTTTTGTAGCATTATATTTCTTTTATTGAATTATTTGTTTATAACTTTTACACTTTTGGATATCCTAAAATGTGAATATGATATGTCAGGGAGAGTCCTGATAATGCTGGGGAAAGCACAATATGAGCTTCAGAAACTTGTTGACAACTATGTAAGTTTTGGTCATTATGCCTTCATGGTATATCTAGCAAATCATTTGTTTGTCTGTAGAAGATTTATTATGAATGTATCTTTGACGTCATGCCATTTGTATGCAGCGTTCTCATATAATTCAGACAATTACTAATCCATCTGAGTCTCTTCTCAATGAACTTCAGACAGTTGAGGTTTGTTCTTCACCACTTCACTAATTAGCTGTTGAGAAATGACTTGATGTGATATTGATTTTCTGCTCGATGGGGTTCCATGATCTCATTGTTCCTTGCATGGGTCTTTTTTGACATTGTGTGAGTAATTCCACTTGCTTATGTTGGATATGGTCCTTGCTATTCGCTTCTCATATTTGATAATATATGTGTTGTAGATGCAAATGTTCTTGACCATGTAGAGTACATAAAGAATCGGATTTAAGTCTTCGAACCTGTAATTAGCTAAGGGTTCACATTGCATGAAGCTGCTTGTTCTTTTTCAACTCGCAAAGAGACTTTTTGTTAAAATAGTGGAGATATACATATTTAATTGTCAACGAGGTGCCAAGTCAACAACAGCATGACTATGCAAAACCCTCTTCACTGAACAAAATGTCATGAGAAACACCACTATTAGCAAGAGAATCTGCTACATCATTGGCCTCTCTAAATACCTGACGGAAAGAAATTGTTGTAGTAGATAAATGAAAAACCTTATCTAAAATCCCTCCTGAGGTGCCACAGATCTGGCATATCCCTTCTTTGCCCATTGACTAAGTGAGTTTTTACACATATTTGGGGTATTGTACTATTTCTTAAAAGATGATATTTTTTATGTGCTCATGTCAAACTTATGTTCCTTCACAAATGATTTTGTGTATATTTTCTCTTGTAAGGATTGATCTGTAGCTCTCATATGTATGTGACAGATGAATGGTCATAGATTTCTACTAGGTATGTGACTTTTTCATTTCTATGTAGATTTTAGTTAAATTTGATCCAGGATAATCTATTGAATGCTTTTGCCCTATTAAATTAGGAGTCATCCTAGGTATTGTGGTGCTTTGACATCTTTTTATGTAAGGGACCTTTTGTTTAATTTTAGTAGCCCTTTAATTGCATTCTTATGTATAATTTTGTTCAAATTGGTAACTGTGATGCATTCTTTAACGGAATACTTGTTTTAATTTGCACAGGAAATGAAAAGCCAATGCGATGAGAAACGGTTAGTGGCCAACTTTTCTTTTGCATGTTGTTTCTGTGACTTGTTGAATTTTTTTTTTTTTAATTTATTTTTGCTTTTGATAATCTGTTGGAGTTCTTTTGTTCTGAAATGGTTATGTGCTCTTCAGAGAAGTATATGAATTTATGAAGGCAGCAAGAAGGGACAAATCAAAGTCAAGAAATACTAAAGGAGAAAGTTATTCATCTCAGTTGCAGACTGCTCAAGAAGAATACAATGAGCAGGCAACTTTATTTGTTTTTCGCTTGAAATCTTTAAAGCAAGGACAGTCCCGGAGTCTGTTAACACAGGCAACCCGACATCATGCTGCACAGGTCTTGCCCTAGATATGGACCTTAATGAATGTGAATCCTTTTTCTTGTGTTGCCGAGTGAAATTTTGATTGTGTTTTTCATCTTTTTTGTTGCTTGAAAACAGTTGAGTTTCTTTAGGAAGGGACTTAAAAGTTTAGAAGGAATTGAAGCGCATGTAAAACAGGTTACTGAACAGCAACATATTGATTACCAATTCAGTGAACTTGAAGAAGATGATGCTGACTATGGTGATGAAGATGAGGGATACGATGCCTTTGATGATGGTGAATTGAGCTTTGATAATGAACAGAATGACGATGAAATGGAGGTGAGAAATGTATCCATCTATTTTTGCTTCATATGATTGAAATGGACGGTTTCAAATGGATGGTTATATAGGAGGCTCTTATCTACATGACTAGCTCATTTATTTGTTGAGGTTCAGAGAAAGCATTTAGCCTTTCTGGTTTGTTGGACTTATGTTTAAGTATATTTGTTACCGGAGAAATAATGACTTTATATTTGTAGAACTTGAACTTATTATATGTCTATGTGTTGACAGGATACTTCTTAATGTGATTGGAAAGTTAAATTAACACCAGGCAAGATGCCCATCCTGTCAGAATGAGAACGATATGCAATAATTTTTCTGAAACTATCATTCTTTTGTCGCATGACAAGTATGGTTGTGGGAGCTGTCTCTATTCAATCCCATTTTTCTTAACAGAGTTGGTTTTATTACCAGTGGTTGCTGCTGCCATGTTGGTTTGTGCCAATAGTTTATATTTTCATGGGTTCGTGGTTTTTAACAGTCTAAGCCATAGCTATAAGTATCACATTTGAATCTCTTTTGAAGAATTTGGCCACATTTTGATGCATCCATGAATCTAAGTTTGAAGTATGCATCTTTATTGAGTTGTGATAAATGTGATGAATGTCGTTATGGTACTTGTCAAAAAAAGAGTAATAAATCCTGGTTTTATGTTCTTATGTTCAAGCCACATTCACTATCTGACTTTTGCCCATATGTTCTGCTATTTCTATTTGTAACTAAGGGCAAATGTATTAATTGTACTAGTGGCTTATCTATAAGTTGATTTTGCCTTTTACATGGGAGAGTCAAGTCCTCTGAGATACTATTAACAGGATTGCACTTCTGTCTGCATTATGAGTCCTGGTTTTTTTTTTTCCTGCTAAGTGAGTCCTGGATTTGTCTGCCCACTAACCCGAATGCTAGAACTGTAGTAGTCAAAACTTTTAACCTATAAACTCTGTTCCTTTCTGCTCAGTTCCCCTGTTAAAAATGTCCTGTTTCTTCTTATATTTGATGCCATTTCTGCTCAATCTTCGTTACTATTTGGACTATTTGGTTAACTGTTTTCTTGGATTTGATATGGACACTGTGGTCTGTTTGCTCGAGGTCGTAGATATCTTGATCCTGATATGTGGTATTGTATTTCAGCTTGATCAAATCAACCATGCATCTGTTTCGCCTGTTAAGACCATATCTTCTCAGGTACGAACCACATGCCAATGGACATCAAATATTTTAATCTAAAGAGGAGAATATAATATTATAATTATTTGGACAGAAGAATTCAGAATAACATACTCATTCGAATAATTGTATATTCTCTTGGACCTTGGCATTCTCCTTTTATGATTTTGGCAGTTTAGATGGGGCATAATTTTTCTCCTTTTTGATTTCAGGTTAACATAGATAGACCCCAAAGGCATTATCATGCTGTAGTTAGCAAGCCAAGACTTGGCAGCCAATCAGCACCAATATCAGCTGCGACAACTGAAAAGCCAAGGAGCTTGCCCTCAACAACTACAAGAAAATTCCATACCTATGTGCTACCAATACCACTCGATGCCAAGAATTCGCCAACTACTCAAGATCATGGCACGAGACCAATGAGTACAAGGGGGCCTGCTCACTCTTTATATCATTCATCTCCCTTAGAACAGAATAAGCATTGTGGGGAATCCAGACCTAAACAATCATCAGAGCGCATCAGATTTTCAGTTCTTAAAGAAAACAATTTTAACAGGCCAACCATCCAAAGCAAGGGTTCACTGCCAAAATTCAACTCTCGAATTCCCTCTGATACTAAAAGGATCAAAAGGCATGCCTTTTCGGGTCCATTGCCTGGTAATTCTTTGTCGAGAAAACCCATTATATCTCATAGTGGTTTTGGAGATTCAACAGAGAATCCTTTGTTAGGCTATGGAATTCTCACTCGTGTTCCAGTTTCTCACTCTCCAAGACTTTCTCCTAGTGCCTCACCTCCATTAACATCACCAAAAATAAGTGAGTTACATGAGCTTCCAAGGCCACCAAGTAGTTCAGCGAAATCTCCAAGACCTTCCAACTCCATAACCTACTCTGCCCCTTTAGCTCCTAAAAGAAATCAAGAGCCTTTGACTGTAAATAGAGTTACCTTCTTGACACCAACTGCTGCCTCGCCATTGCCGACACCTCCTGGGACTGTGCTTTACAGTTTCTCTATACCTTCAAGTCGTCAGAAAGCAGGGGCACTGCAATCAACAAAGTCATCAGAGGCTTCTCCCGGCAAAGAGACAATTGAAGAAGTTTTTTCACCTCCTTTGACACCTATTGCATTTTCAAACATTAAAAGGGCATCATCTGCTTCAGCATTGGAAGGTCATGCGAAAAAGAACCAGTGGTAATTTTGAGTTTACAACTGCTGTTTCTATACAGAGATCATACCATCGATGGTTCTCTTGAGTTAAATTTCTTTTTCTTTCATATCATCCGTTAAGTGAGTTTGTTTTATTTTGATTATATAATGTCAGTTTATGTGCATGCACATGTGGTATGTGTTTTGATGTGTGTATGTGGTTGTTTCTGAATGTTCATGCACATATATGCATGCATGCATTGATAGTTGCATGCATATGTGTTATGTATGTATGCATAAGTGTGTATGTATGTTTGTATTTGTCCGTTCACACATGCATTTGTGTGTACTAGACATGCATACACTTCTATCTAATCGAAGTGAACTAGCAGTAAGACCAAATCGCTTCCATGTCCCATGTTTCAAAACCTTGGTAATGTGTTTTGCAGCTCAACATCAAAAAACTATGAGCAAATTCATTTGACGATATTGATACTGATGACTTGATTTACTTGATCGCTGCTTCTTTCCAGCATAGTGTGTAAAGCAATGACATCTCTTCTTATTGGTTGCAGATGCATATGGTTTCAAAAAGGCAAAGTTTGATTAAGGCCATCCGACCATTTCGAACGAGAGCTCTCATTCTTAGTCCTCCATGTAAATAATATGTGTATTATAATCATATCTTTTACAACTTAAAATTTTTTTTTTTTTTTCATTGTTTGCTTGGGCTATTGATTGCGACATTATATGCATCATTATGTCAAAATAATGTGCGATCTCGTGTTCAATGAATTGTAACAGCAATTTTGTCAATGGTGTAAAGCATTTTGTACAAATAAATGGTGTTATTGTGTACTGTCCCTCTTGAAATACCTCTTGATTGCTCATTGTATTAAATAAACTGCAGGGAATTTATCAAAAGACACTTAAATGTTGAACTATTTAATATTTCACCTTTGGTGTAATTTGTTGAATTTCGAAACCCATTTTTATGTATCATGTGAAGGCCTATTTGAAATTTGATAAAAAAAAAAAAAAATACTATTGTTTCTTTGAATGAACTTAATTATTTTGCTTGGGCGTAAGTTATTTTGCGTTATCTCTTTGAAAAATCTAAATTTCAATACATAACTTTGAAAAAAATCATAAATCTTGATTTCAGAACCTCTAAAAAAAGTGTATATAAATCTTCTCTATTTGTTAATAATGAGAAGTATGAAACAAACAAACCTCAAAATAATCGTGAAGGTAGATGCGTTAACAATTATCATAATGGTGGAAAGGGTTGCAGTAGCAGAGGGAGTTCTAGATGTGATCCAACAATATAGGATAGTTGTTGGGTATTATACTCATACTTAAAGCCCATTAATAACAAGACAGTAGATAGATCTACTGCTTAGATCGTAACCACTCATACCCATCATTGAAACTATGATCATTATCAGCAACTAAGTAATAACATTGGTTCTTTCTCTACATAGGATCAGTCTTCTTCATTCTTATAGTATCATTTTTCTTCATTATCAGACACAGGTAACCATTATTCTTCGATGTCTTTCTCAAAACTCTGAAGTTCAGTTTATGTCATCATTTTCTTTTAACTAAATGTCTGTCGGTAGAACTACTCAGAGCATGAATGGCAATGCTATTTTTTCTCCCAACTATGTGACTTTCCAAGACCGGGCCACGGGGAGGAAGATTGGTGAAGGGAGATTGACTCATGGGCTATATTTATTTAATCAAGATAATACAGCTTTAGTTGTCAATCAAGATAATTATGATATTAATACATTGTGGCATTGGAGATTTGGATACCCCTCAGATAAAATTTTAAATTTTTTTAACGCCCTTTCTATCTTTAAACTCTCATTCTTGTGAAGTTTTTATATTCTCAAAACAGACAAGACTTCATTTTTAGTCTTCCATGCATATTTCAAAAGAACTATTTTATTTGATACATTCTGATGTGTGGACACCAGCTCCAATTAATTCTTATGTTGGTTTTAAATATTTTGTTACTTTTATTTATTATTGGTCTCATGCTACTTGGGTATATTTATTGAAATAAAATACAGAAGTTTTCCATGTATTCAAATAATTTTCCAAACTGATTTCTACTCGATACAATGGTAAGATTAGAATTTTGTGGACAGATAATGGCACAAAATATGTGAACAAAGTTTTTTCTGAGCATTTATTGAATCTTGGTATTATACACCAAACATTGTGAGTTGGAACACCTCCAGAATGAATTTGCTGAAACGAAAAATAAGTACGTTTTGGAAACTACAAGGTCTTTGATGTTTCAGATGTACGTTCCAAAAATTTATTGGTATAAAAGGTGTTATAACTAGTTGCTATTTGATTAATAGACTTCCAAGTAAAATTATTAAGTTCTCCCCTTGAAATTTTGAAAAATAGAAATTTTGATTTGTCACATTTGTGAGTATTTGGATATGTATATTATGTTCATGTGGTTGGGCACAACCGGGATAAACTTGATAAACATTTCAGTAGATGTTTCTTTTTTGGATACTCATCTACTGAAAAATGATACAAATGTTATGATCTCACAATTAGAAAAATACATATTTCCAAAGATGTTCAATTTGTTGAAACAAAGTCCTATTTTTATGGCATGTTGAAGACTAGTTTGGAAAATAAGACTCAAGAGGAGTGTTCAAGAGGTCGTTTGCCCTCGCCTAATATTAGTGCTTCTGCTATGTCCAACACACCAAGAACAAGTCATGATGATCAAGCCAAAGTTGAAGATACCTTTAAAACTCACCAATTTGGTTTAGAAGAAGAAGACTCCACCGTGGCCCCACCAGATCCCCTCTTACGCATGTCTTCTCGTATCCCTCAACCTTTTCCTAAACTTCAAGATTTTTATACTTAGTATGTTGTTTCTTATCATGTTCAAAACCATATTTCTTATGAAAATATTTCTCCTGGCTATTTTGTTTTCGTTTAGCTTTATTTCTAATAATTCTGAGCCAACCAATTTTCAAAATGTTATTTCTCAACCTGTGTAGAGGAAGACCATGAAAGAAGAACTTCAGGCACTTGACAAGAACCATACTTAGGACATTGTCAAGTTACCTAAAGAGAAAAAACAGTTGGATGCAGATGGGTTTTTAAAATCAAATATAATAGCGATGGGTATGTTGATACCTAAAGGGAAAAATCAGTTGGATGCAGATGGATTTTTAAAATTAAATATAATAGTGATGAGTATGTTGAGGGACATAAGACCAAGTTGATAGCGAATTGATTTACCCAAACTTATGGAGTCGACTATAAAGAGACTTTTGTACCAGTCATTAAGATGAATATTGTTCTTGTTCTTATGTCTATCACAGTTAATTGTGAGTGGTCTCTACATCAGATAAATGTTAAAAATCCATTCTTACATGGTGACCTTGAATAAGAAGTCTATATAAGTTTTCCTCCAGTCTATTCTAAAGAAAATGAGAAAAGACTTGTATGCAAGTTAAAGAAGGCTTTGTAACAATTATCTCGTGTATGCTATGCCAAACTCAGCACAACCTTGATGAGTGTCGGGTTTCTCAGAAGTTCAGTCGATTCTTTAATGTTCACAAAAAGGGGAACTTCTGATACAACAATTGTACACTTTTATGTTGACTATTGTCATTACAGGTAATGATAAAAAAACATCATGAAACTTAAAAATTATCTTCACAAGAAATTTGACATCAAGGATCTTGGTCAATTAAAGTATTTTTTCGGTATTGAAGTAGCACATTAAAAAAAATGGCTATTTATTTCTCAAAGAAAATATGTATTAGATCTATTGAAAGAAACTGAAAAACTGGGAGTCAAACCTATTGACACTCATGTTGATATAAATTACAAACTTAATTCAATAAATGAAAAACCTCTTAAAGATATGGGCTGCTTTTAGAAACTTGTGGGCAGATTGATTTATTTTGATTGTGACACGACCATAAATAATGTAAGTAGTTAGTCTTGTGAGCTAATTTATGCATACTCCTAGATCATGTCATATAGATGTTGTCGATAGAATTCATAGATATTTTAAGTCGTCACCTGGTAGAGGTGTTTGGTTGAAACCGGATGGTCACATTAATATTATTTGTTATTCTGATACTGATTAACCTGGTAGTCCACTTGACAAGATGTCCACTACCGGCTATTTTATACATCGGTCGGAGGAAACCTAGTTACTTGGAAAAGCAAGACACAAAATGCAGGTGCTTGATCCAGTGCAAAGGCCAAATATAGAACTATGAATTCAACTACAATTGAATTAATGTGGCTAAAATACCTACTCTGGGGATCCCAACGATCAATCCAATGAAAATGTTTTATGATAATTAAGCAGCTATGCATATAGCCTCCAATCCAATTTTTCATGAAAGAACCAAGCACATAAAAGTTGATTGTCACTTTGTGAGATAAAAGGTTGAGTAAAAAATTATTAGTACTCCTTGTGTTCAAAGTGAAGACCAACTTGCAAAAATATTTACCAAAACTACTGCAAAGACAAAGTTCCATCAGTTACTGTCCAAGCTGGGCTCCATTGATATCTACGCACTAACTTGAGGGGGAGTGTTGACAGTCATAAAAACCGTATATTACAAGATATTAAGTTTCTCATATTGAGTTTTGCAGTATTGATATTGTGAGGGGATTTGTTTTCTAAAAAGCAAGAATTGTAACTCTATAAATTTATGGTAAACCAGAGTAATTCCTATAAATAAAATACTGGTTTACCCTCCTAGATGTAGGCACTATTGCCGACCACGTATATATTGTGTTGATCTATTTTTTCTATTCTCTATTTCGTTTATTGCAAATTCTACACAAACTAGTGTTTTTGGACTCGGATTAGTGGGGAGGGGAGTTAGCGATGAGTTGGGTGCTAACTTGCCGGCACAAAAAAAACCTCCTATAAAATGTAAAAAAAAGTTAAAAATATATAATGCGTGAGGTTTGTATAAGGTACCCACTTTATACTCTAAGTGGAAGGCACACTTCTAAATTTTGCCAGAGTTTCAGTCTCGAAAGCCTTAAGATGGCTGAAAATTCATGTTCAACCTAATTATGAAATTTAAAATTAAAATAATGGTGTAGATTTAAGCAAATTTATAAACACTTGAAAAACTTCAAAAATAAATGGTCTAATTAACTTGTTTTAACATGCACTATTTGTGACACTTGAATTTCTCTTTTTCTTCTTTATCTCCATACATCTCGAGGCCGAGGTGATCAATTGGAAGGTTTTCCAACTTCGGAACATTCTTTTCTACTAGATTTTTGAGGTGCATCTTGCTTCTAAAGTATAAGCTTATATAAACTTTTTCCATGTATAATATATTGGTTAGAAATATTCTTTTAGATGATTTTCGTAAAAAAAAAAATTTCTTTTTAGGTGATTTTGATAGTTCCAATTGTTCTGAAATATTCAAAGCATAAATCAATTTTTTCAGTAATCCATCCGTTTTTCACTATCTTCATTGGTTTACTTCAAGTTATCTTATTTGGATTTTTATTTTTTATTTTTTTTACATATTTTCACTTTTTTAACATTTTTGGAGGTGTACCCCAAAAGCTGAAGAAAAAAAAAAAAGGATGCCAAAGATTCTTCATAATACTTTTCCATTACAAACAATTATGATCCAAAAGCATTGTCCCTGAAGTGAAGAATAGAAGCTTGAGGACCAACCCATTCTCCATTCGCAATGCTTTTAGGGACTGATATCCAAAACTTGGGTTTTTCTCTTCTGGTTTCCTGTGGAACATGTAAGGTAATTATAGACTCTAGAAATGTCGGCCAACTCGGCGCAAAGTTTGAGACGATCCAAAATTAAAGGGTATATACCCCCAAATTAACTCTCACTCCAACTGCTTTAAGCCCATCTCCATGTATACAATGCTTACACCATAAAATGCCATCTGATCATCATTTTTTTCCAATATAGTAGCCCACTTAGAAGAGAACAATCTGAGAAACGCAACTCTTGCCATGACGCTGAGACGTAATTAGTTAGCTTTAGTTACCAGAAACCACATTTCCTTTCTTAAATTATTTGTTGATGAGAGAGACTTGAAATTGAGAGCAACCCTCGGTATTGCTCCTTCAAAAAGAACGGTCCACCTTGCAACCACTAGCTCCTGATTGTGTAGGGTTCTCGTGAGCCCTTAGGTTTGCGGAATCGGGAATCTCAAATATCGGGAACTTATCCAAGATAGTGTACTCAATTGGTCAAATACGAAGTAGATGAATACAACTATAAATCGCGTGCGAGAAATAAATCAAATATAAAAAACACACAACAACAACACACGATTTACGTCGTTCACCCCGTAGGAGCACACCACAATAACACACGATTTACGTGGTTCACCCGTAGGGCTACATCCACAGCCTCAACAACTAAAAATCCACTATTACAATGAAGATTGCAGTTTTAGGTTACAAGAGATAATACCTATCTCTAAAAATCGGTAAAAGACCATCACCGATCTTCCTTCCGAACAACACCATGGATCAACATAGTATTTTCTACCACAATACTGCTATTGGAAAGATAACCTCCAAAGCAACATAGAGATCATGAGAATACCGCTCCTCTCTCAGAGGCCATGTCTCTCTTTTGGAGACCCATCTCCATATTGGAGATCTGTTCCCATAACACCCAAAGGGGTGGTGACCTTCAAAATATAGGGTATTATGTCGCCTTTCACTCTCTTATAAATATATCACTTTCTTGCTTCCAAGTCACTTTTCTATTTTCCATAATATCCTAATCTTTAGAAGAAAATAAGTACTATATCGTCTTTCACTAGCTTATAAATATATCCCCTTATTACTTTCCAAGTCAATTTTTTATTTTCCATAATACCTTAATCTTTAGAAAAAAATATAAGTAGGGTGATTTAGCTATCACTAAACCCAACTTATTGTAAGACCCGAATACCCATCCCCGTTCAGAATTGTTACGATAAGATTCAACCGGTTTATTACAACCATGGGTAATTTTGAGCAATAGACTTCTCTTTTGTAAAATTCTGATGATTGCCAGAAAAGACAAATGCATGTAAGTATGAAAAACCGGCATCGCTTGTCAAAGTACAGAGTACACAAGATACGAAATTCTTTGTAATCAAATCTTGAGCCTCCTCTATCTCTATCTCTGTTGTGACCCCTAACCATTTGAGCTCATTTATAAAGCCACTGATATTTCCGCCATAAAAGGTTTCATCTAGGAGGGAAGGTCAGAAACCTGTACAAGTGCATCTCTTTCAGAGGTTAAGAAACAAGAACCAATTGGAGTCTTCTAAGCCTGATCAGTTCATATCGGCCTCCCCCCTCCCCTACTAAAAACAAAGGGAAAACCCATTTCATCTTCTTTTTTTCCTTAATATTTTCTTAGGTCCCCTCTCTCGTGGACTCCTAATTCAATTTTAAAGTTTAAAAATTTAAAATTTTAAAATTTTAAATATATTTTCCAAACCAGTGATCCAACATGAATATGTCGAGTGGACGATCCACTTCACAAATCGGGGTTCTCAAACACTCGAGAGAACCATAAAGTTCCATGACATTATCTCGCATCCCCAACTCTTTAACTCCAATGAGCTTGAGCTTATTGCCATATGAACCGATCTTTCCATCATAAAAAGGCTCTTCAATCTAGGGAATACTAGCCGAAATAGATCCATCTGTGGAAAAACACAAAACCTTGTCTGGTTAGCAGCAGCTTACAAGGGTCTCTATCCACGTACGTTTCTTATGCTCTTGAGTGAAGGACGGACTGCGACAAAACCTCACAAAGAAAATAACAATGATACAAAATGATAAATTCTAAATTTTGGTTTGTCTGCAGAATCCCATTCTCGGCATGTCTCACTGTAACTAGAAATATCGGATAAGAAAGTAGAAACGACACTGTGCGTTTCGGTTTAATAAGAAGCCATTATTATGTCTTCTCCTATGCAGGGCCATTTAGCATTTGTAAGAACTAAAGAGAGCTACACTGAAACCTGAACCTTTAAAAGTATGTTCACAATGGTAAGGATAAAAATATTTAATCACGTTATTTTGGAACTGAGTTCCAAAATCTTGTTCGAGAGATGATGAATCTTTGAGAACTGGCGAGCCAGAAAAGGCAAGCTACCATTGAATAGGAAACAACATACTTATAATGAACCCAGATAAAATTGAGATGGTTGTAGAACTGATAGGAAGAGAGCATAAAATGATTCACTTTATAATTCTAGCTTAAATTTTAAATATCCACCCAGTGGAAGCAAATAAAGTTCATCAAAATTAATTACAATAACCTTTAATGTGGAAGAATACCCTTCCTTGTTAAATGAAATTCAAGCATCACATTATGATGTACTTTGAAGAAAAGCCATGAGAAGGACTACATTTCGATAAAACCGGTCCTGAACTGAAGTATTGTTTGTTCATGGGTATTTTAAAGAAGCAGACTAGTTTAGCTCGGGTGCCCCCATCGATAAAGAGTATCGGCTTTGGTGCATACATTTCTATTGCCAGTTTATCTTTACTATACATTAGATTGTCTCAATTAAGCATCTAGTATGATGGAAACTGAATTCCAAATTGGTGAAAGAAGTATATAGGATCTGTCAAGTATTCCTATGCGTACGAACGTCTAATGCTTCACATGCTCCAACTGATCGAATTAGAATAGGTTTTAGCTTTATACTATTAAAATTATTTTTATTTTTTTTCTAACCTTTATTATCGTATCTTAATTCTTTTACGCATTTGCTTATTCTAACCGGTTGAGATGAAAGCTATGAGTGGCAGGTTCTTACAATATTCTGAGAAATTATTGTCCGCCCTTTTATTATTTGGTTTCGGAACTAACCAAGTTGCTTCTTGTTCATTCTCCAATGAGAAATGTTTTGTTAAAATTGCACCTTTAGCCCATAGGTAAGGCTCTTCTGCACCATCTAAACATGGACGTTGCACAGTTGCTCTTCCTATACTTTTTCTGGCTCTCTCTAATCTCCCTCTTTTTCTTTGTAGCCAGCATCGCGAGATCAGGCTCCCGAACGAAAAGAAAAGGAATGGTAGGATCTTTGCAATCAAATGGTACGATTGAATCTGGGCCATCCACTTAACCAAGCAGATCAGGAGATTCACTAACAATTTTAAGTATCAAACAAGCGCTACGCTCTGTTTTGGAAGGGTTCAGACTTTATTCTTACCACCAAAATCCAGAACATTGTAATGGACGTCAACTCCCTGCTGTTGGATCATCCTTCAACACATTCTACCCGAGCGGACGCTCACTCTGATAATATAATCAAAGAGTGATAAACATGAAAACAAACCGCACTAGAAGAGGCAGTCTCTCTCTCTCTCTCTCTGCTTGTTAAAATCACTCTGATAATATGAAAACAAACCACACTAGAAGAGGCACTCTCTCTCTCTCAACACGAATGATAAATATGAAAACCACATAAACCCCTTTCCCCAATATTATTACATACTCAACTTTGCAACCATTCAAGAAGCAGCTCGACAGGGTGAAGATGCCCTCACACAATTAAAAAAAATTGCTATAACAAAAAAAGAACAACTTCTAATTCAGGGAAACAAAACAAAGAAGAAAACAGTGAGAAACACAAAAAGAGAGTATCACCTACCTTAAAAACCTGCCTGCCTTGTGTAGCTTCCCTAAGAACCTGTACATACATATACAGAGAAATCATCGTGGTGGGCTCTGCCATTACTGGAAGCACCAACAATCGCTCACACTAAATCTAACACTCAAGAGAAATCATCCTAAGCTTGATTCTGCTAATCTATATCCCAGCAACCAAAGAATAAAGAAGAACCAGAAGAGAGAGAGAGAGAGACCGAGAGAAAGAGAGAGCACTACTTCTGAGAACCAAAAACTTCTGATACACCCTCCTTGCCCTTGACCTTCAAGCCACTGCTCCGATCTTTCTGAAGCTCCATGGACAAACCAATGGAAGGTACTCTCGATGGCCTAGAAAAAACACGAGAAGTGTGCAATTGAGATTCATCAACATTTGTTTTCTTCTTTCTCGTGAGGCCACCACTTTTCGAGTTCCCAAGAGGTCCAGACCAAGACACCACTGGCCCCTTCTTGAGACCGAAAGTTGCTGAAGTGAAAGAAGCATCATGCACATCAAAGGACATTTGGCCATGAGAAGCATCTAATGGAAACCCAACAGCTCCGTCTTGGTGTGGAGGTGGGAACTTCTCGCTCTTGCTTTTGGCATTTGAATGGGTTATCATTCGTCGTCGCTACAATCATATCATGAAATGAAAGTAAAAATCATGAGAGCAAGATAGAGAGATCGAGTATAAGAAATGAACCACGTAAGAAAACCACTATTTATGTATGTAGGTACATACATATGTATTTGTGTCTGTGGGTGGTTGGGGGTGTGTGTGGTCTTATTCTAGGTTACACCACTTAGGAATTTAGAATTTTCTACTTCAAAAGTTTTTGGCCATAGAATATTCTTATGTAGTCAAAAATGACTTTTAACTAAAGGGAAAAGTTTATATAAAGCCTAGGCTCTAAACAATCAAATTAGAGCTTATCCCAAAACTTTCACAATAAGAGGTTGTTTTGATGCCCAAATATCCTCAAATTGATCATCTTGACATCAAAATGCATGGACATTAGAAAAAAAATAGATATCAAGTTTTGGAAATAGTGCATCTTGCGACGCACTTTTCGACCATCAATTTTCAAGATTTTCAAGTTTTCTGCTTGATTTACACTACTTTTAATGCTTTAAATTTTATAGCTAAAGATGAAAATATAATTTAAGGCTATCACAAAACTTTCCAGTATTGAAACTATATTTTTTTATAATATCTGAAGGTGGGCTCTAATTTGATTGTTTAGAGCCTCGGCTCTATACAAACCTCACCCCTAAAGGGAAAAGTTTATATAGAGCCTAGGCTCTAAACAATCAAATTAGAGCCTACCCCAAAACTTTCACAAGAGGTTGTTTTGATGCCCAAATATCCTCAAATTGATCATTTCGACATCAAGATGCATGGACATTAGAAAAAAAATGGATTTCAAGTTTTGGAAAAAACTGTTCATGTATTTATCAGGGTATTCTTGTCATCTTGAAATCCCATCAAAAAGTAATTTCAAATTTGAAAAGCTTCTTTTGACTTTTTTAATCATGCTTGAATTTAAAGAAAATTTAAATTACAAGAATACCTTATAATCAACAGTTTCAAGAAAATCATTGCAAATATATAAAATTTGCAAGGGCATTCATAGTAAATATAATTATAGTAAAATCCAACTTCACCGTTAGAATGGTGTAGCCTAGAACAACTATATATACGGAAGTAACAAAAGCCAGCCCACTAGCTGACAGCTATAGTAAATACCCAACAACCTAGATTGAATCCGGACCAATCCACAATGTCACAATTGTATTTTATATTTGACTTTTAATTTTTTTCTACAAATCCAAATCATTTTAAATTTAAAACGTCTAGTCTTGAAAAATAGGCTAATCTAATAAAAATATTTGTAAAAATAATTTACAAAAAATAAATTGACCAAAATAGCCTTGAATCTTTTCGGGGTATTTTTGTCAATTTATTTTGTGAATTAGTTTTTAATATTTTCATTAGGTGCGCCTAAATGAAAAAAGTGGATGCTCCAAATTTCATGGGATTTGGATTTGCAGAAAAAATATTAAAATTAAAATACAAAATGCATCGTGACCATTAGATCGGCCAAGATCCCAGATTTAATCTCGACGGTTGGGCTCACACTATTCCATTAGACAAAGCTGACATGATCTTTTTCATATATATATATATATATATATATATATATATGCCTTTTAAGAAAGGAAAAAGTTTATATAGAGCCGAGGCTCTAAATAAACAAAATTAAAGACTACCGCAAAATTTTCATTAGAAGAGGTTGTTTTGATTCCCAAATATCCTCAAATTGATCATCTCGACATCTAGATACACGGACATGCGAAAAAAATGGATTTCAAATTTTGGAAATAGTGCATCTTGTACACATTTTTAGACCAGTCAATTTTCAAGATTTTCAAGTTTTCATAGATTTGTTTGATCTACACTTTGAAGCTTTAAATTTTATAATTAACAAATGAAAATATATTTTAAGGCTATCACAAAGATTTCCAATATTGAAACCACATTTCTCGACACTATTTGAAGGTGCGCTTTACTTTGATTGTTTAGAGCCTTGGCTCTATACAAACCGCACCCTTCAAGAAAAGGCTTGTGAAATAGTTTCATTAAGAATTTGTCTCTGAAAATTAGTTTTAGACTAAGGGCTCCCACTCTTATGAATCACTCATGGACCTCTTAATCCACCATTTATCAAGGAAAGGCCTTGTGAAATAGTTTCATTAAGAATTTGTCTCTTGAAAATTAGTTTTGGACTAAGGGCTCCCACCCACATGAATCACTCATGGACCTCTTAATCCACCATTTATCCTTAGTTATGAGGAATCCACAAACCCTAGCCCCAAGCCTAAGCTCCACCCCGAAAACAAAATCAAACCTCTACAGTTGTGAGAGATAAAAAAAGAAAATCGAGCCTCAATTTTTCTATTGTACTATAAACCCTACAATAATCTTTTATTTCTAAAATGTACTGGATTTAGGACAACCATCATCTTTCCCAAACCATAAAAGAAAACATCCATTTAAAAGATCATTTTCTCTCTCTAAAAATATGGCATTTCAACCCTCACTCAAAATTTCTAAGAAAGATTGGGGATATGAGAGTCATAGAGGTACAAGTAATGAAGAAACCTAACGCTCAGAAGTTCAGCGTACGAGAAACTATTTAATCGCACAAAAAGCAATTGATGCTTAGATAGAGATTTTCATCAGAGTAGAAGGTAAAGTATGAATTCGAAAGAACTAAAAGTAAAATAAAGAGTTGGAGATAAACTTAAGCAACATACATCCAAGTTTGCTTGAAGCTCCGCATTTGCTTCTGGAGCAGGCAGAGCCCTGCTGCCACGGTCACGTGGACGGTGGGTTTTCTTCGTTCCATCACCACCATGGCCTCTCCCACTAAGACCTCTTTGCCTGCATAAAAATGACATAGCATAACTCAATATCAGATAACCATATAAAATATTGAAGCATCCCTGATCAATCTCCCAAATTGGATAGAATGGACTGAGAAAAGACTTCAATCTTCTATCTTTAAACAAAGCGACTCTCAAATATTTCTCAACAGGAAATTATTTTGGCATTTTCTCAAAACAAAAGTGCACCAGAATTCAATAGGAGCCAGAAAACCGTAGTCAATTGGATTCATCGTGGTCCAATGACATTATGGAAGTTGATGGAGAGTGAGACCAGAAGGAGGCGTGACCCCAATGACAGGTCCCACTCTCTTCATTGCCATTCATCCTTTCATTGGAAGGTGGTATCCCAATGGACAACTGTTTTCCCAAGTCCACTAGATCAGTGTACCACCCCTGCCTCAAGAAAGAAAAGGCAGTGAGTTAGAAGGATTGCAAATCAAGAAAGCATACACATACCTTCTAGCTTCTTCATCCCTCAATTTGGCATCCATTTCTTTGCTAGGAGGATACTGTGGAAGGCTTGAAGGTTCACAAGGATAAGGCTTTGAACTGAAAAACTGCAAACGAAACACAAAGGCCAGTCATATGGTATGCCCGATATTGCAAATTTTTTCTTGTATACAAATAACAATTTGTTAATGGAAAAAGCATTGAGAAAACACATGGATTAAAACCACAGATCAACTTCCCTAAAACTTGTGTTTCTTTTGAACGCTGTTGATTTCAATTAATAATGGAATATCTGTTGGGATCCCATCATACTAATTTGATGGTAGCCCTTACAAAAACTTGCATTGCAAAGACCATTAACTGCATATATAATCCTTTTCTTTTTTTGTTTTGAGGAGAGAGAGAGAGAGAGAGAAAGAGCGAGAGAGAGAGGGTAGGGAAAGAAGCGGTGTTCTTACAAAGGAAAACAGTAATTAATTTTCAAAAGAAAACAGATATTTAAATTTCATATGAGAACATCTTGGGAACAGAATCTGACACACACCCTTCTAAACTCGAACTTAGTAGTATAGATGCAGATGATCCAATACTGGTCCAAACGTAAAAAAGTGGTCTAAATGATGTCAAGCTTGGACTTATTAAGGTAGGTAACATTGTGTGTCCTGCCTGATCATTCCCCATGGTTTACAAACAAAATATGTAGCTGAAATAACTCATTGTAACAATACGCATCAAAGAAACTAACTCTGTACCCTCTGCTCCCAAGTCAGCCAATCTATTGGCTTCCTGAACCAAATAATGAATATCCCCAGTGAAGCCTCCGACAAAGCAAAAGCAGAAGTTCAAAAATACATTTCTGTTTTTTTTTTTTTCTTTTTCTTTGTTATATGTTTTTTGAAAACACAAGTTCAATTGACCTTTCCTATTGATAAACTTTTATCAAGTTACTCCTCCCCCCTGGCAATTTTCTACCAAGCTAAGGCATAGCAACTTGTAGCAAGGCCTTAATTTAATTTACGAGGGCTCCATAAAACAGCCAACAAAATGGTCAATATGAAACCTAACCTAATAATTCAACAAAAGTTCCAAACAATGCAGTGCAGCGATGTGCTTCCAAGGGAACATGAGAAACAATTTAATAAAGAAAGAGTAATCTATAGCATAAAGACATACTGATAAAGAAACACATAAATTGGGCTGAGCACTCACTTCACTTTTCAGAGCAGAGGTAGCAGTACCTCGCTCAGCTGGGTCAATTGCAAGAAGTGTCTCAATAAGGGGTAATGAAGAAGGTGGAAAATTCTTAAATGTCTCTGCTAGAAAACGTTTATATGGCTGTTGGGGCTTAAATATAGTAGCATGCGGCAACTTAGATTTCTTCCAATATTCTTCTGAGGGAGAACCACATAATTTAAATATCTTGTGCAATTGCTCCACCTAAGAAGACATGAAAAAAAAAAAGGATTGATGAATGTCCAAGGTGAAATAAAGAATGAAAATGCTAGATAAATAACCATGCTCTACATATCACATTTCCTTTTTGATGAACTTTGCTAAATAAATACTACAAGGCTACATCTGTTAACATCAAACCACTAATTTGCTAATGAAATCAAATACCAGTATGTTTTTTAAGAAAATCCTGAAGCACCAGACCTGAGAGATTGAGACTAACCATTTACTTTAATTTATAATCAACATTTTAATAAACATTATCTATCAGGTTACATTAGGTGCCATAGTTTATACACAGACACGGGCATGGATCCAGGCAGGGCCCAAGCCCAAGTCAGCAGGTCCGACTCGACTGAGTCTTTTAGAAAATAACACAAATCTCAGGAAGCAGTGAGACTTGGGCAGTTCCTGAGGTTTCTGTACAGTTACCTGAGACCATGTTGGGTCCAAGAAACTCACGCAAGTCAGTTGAATTGCCAAGTGTTAAAACATTGCTAGGCTCTGACGAACAGAGACATATTGTAAACTATTGTTCAAAACAATTATTACGAGGTGCAGTAAAGTTTGACAAAATCATTCAAAAAAAAAAAGAAAGAAGCAAACAAGTTGAACTTTTGTCGCTCAAGGGACCAAGTAATCATTTATATAAAAAACAAAAAGTTCATGAGTCTGAACTCATGTCATGAAAAGAGGCAGTACACATGAAATTTAATTTCTACGCAAGTTTTAACATCCAAGGCGTCCTCATCAAACAATTAAATGCCCAAACAGTGAACTGTAAATCTCTGAGACAATAAAGGACAGGGGCTTAAAGTCCATCAAAATCCATCTCCCAAGTGCCTCTGAATATGCATCTACCACCCAAAGAGACCCTAGAAATGTCTGTATACATTTTGAGGCTGATTCGAGTTCTCTAGCTAAACTGAAACCAAGGAAATTCTAGGACCCTAAACCTGTGATTTATAGGGAGGTGAACACAGTGATCAAGAGGTCAAGTCTCAAGCCTCACGAAGGACTCCCAGCAGGCATTTGTGATAAATTGGATTAGGATCCTTTTCCATCTAGTAAGGGATCCCCTGAATCATGTTTCAGTAAACTAGAGGAGGTAAGGTGATTCTCTTCCTCCCTTTCTTGTCTTTGATTGTATCTTGAACTTCTAGCCACATGACAAAGAGGTATAGCTCTACCACCAGATGTCACTCAGCCAAATTAAATAAGTAGCAACAAATGTAGACATATAAATACGCATTTAAAATTAATGAAAATTTAGTAAAAGAAGGCTAAAATGAATGCTAAAATAACAAAGGAAAGAGGTGTGCGAGTGAACACCAAAGTGGAGGAAGGGACATTTGGATCGTTGAAAAATTACTACTCGCACTTCCCTTTCCAGCGATTCAGATTCCAATTTTTCTTCACAAAGTGCGTATGTTTTTTTTGAAGGAAAGGTTAACCTGTATGTTTGACCCCTGACTTCTGGCCAAAGCCTCTACAATTATATCAAGGGCAATGTTGACACTGAACTCACCCATTTGATGACATTAAACATTGCCTCATCCCATAACAAGTGAACCAAAATAAGATTGAATTATCTTCTTCAGATGATTTGAATAGCAACAGTCAAATAAAGATTAAAACAATCCACTCAACAACAGTTAGAGAGCCTCTCAGTATGCTCCGCATTCTAGAAGGATATGGAATACAACAAACTCTTTGATTTGTATTATGTTTCTGTATGCAAATTGACATCACCTTATGGATTTAATCCTTAAAAATATTATCAGCAGGTAATCTCTCAAGAGAAGTGACTTGAGGAAAAGGTCTCTGATATGGAAGAGGATGAATTTCCTTGCTAGATGCCTTCAATTGCTTTTTGGGGAGCAGAGTTGAGACACTTCCAAGTACATACTCGCAAGTTCCTTTATCCATTGGCAAAATCCATAAGCCTGGGTGGGCTACGTTAGTAGGGGTGGCAACGGGTCGGGTCAGGTTCATTGCCACCCCTATTCTTTAGTTAAAGGTGTAAATGGAGTCAAACATATTTAGTTCACAGTGCCCACATAATGGAATCTCATGTTACAAGTTCCTTTAGCTTTCCATAAAAATATCTCACATATAAGGTCAACAGGGAAATCATTATCATTATCATCAAAGCTTTTTTCCAAGTATTTGGAGTCGGCTACATGATTCTTGATCCTCTTTCAGGATTTATGGAAAGTTTTGGCTAAGTTTTATATTGACTGCCTACCTAACACAACCCACCTCTTTTACCCAGGCTTGAGACGGGTTAAGGGAAACTTCAAGGTCTTCACAATTTTTAGACCATAAATCATCATCATCCAAGCCTTATCCCAGTTATTTGGAGTCAGCTACATGAATATTGTTCCTTATTCGTCTCCATAGGTTCAGGATTCATGATAAGATGTGGTAAAGTTATATGCTGACTGCCTACCTAACACAACCCAACTCTTTTACTCAGGCTTGAGAACCCAAGCTTGAGACGGGTTAAGGGAAACTTGAAGGCCATCACACTTCTAAGACCATAAATAATCATCATCCAAGCCTTATCCTAATTATTTGTCGGCTACATGAATATCGTTCCTCCTTCTCTATAGGTTAAGGATTCATGATAAAATGTGACAAAGTACGCTGGCTGCCTACCTAACACAACCCACCTCCATTACCCGGGCTTGGATGAGTTAAGGTCAACAGGTAAATAAACATGTATAAATGCATTCTTTAGCTCCAGGGGCACATGAGCTCCATCACACGATCCATTCTTGTTATTCTTAACTGCTTTCTTAATTTAGTACCTACTTATTGATCTAAATTTTATTCCCTCGCTTTTGCATGGCTTGTATGTTTACCAATCCCTATATTTCTATAACCCATAATTCAAAATTGTCACATCACATACTAAGAAAATCATCATATACATCCAAGCGTGCTTCTCCCATTTTCTTATCAAGAGCAAGGGATGAGGGTAGCGGTATTATGTATAACTCAGAGAACATCAGCTTTAAAATCCCATATCCATTTCGTAAATTTTTGGAATCAGTGATGCTCTCTCCAAATAAAAACAAGTGAATAGAGACATATTCATAGTTAATTATAAAAAGCTAAGCTCAAAATATGCTCATAACTTGGACATTACCAATTACCTCTGTTCGTCCAGGCATTATTGGCTTCCCAGAAAGAAGCTCAGCCAAAATACATCCTGCACTCCAAAGGTCGACGCCCACACTATAATAGGTGGCCCCTAATAGAAGTTCGGGTGGCCGATACCAAAGCGTGACAACTCGACTTGTCATTGGCTGCTTCTGTTCAGGATCATAAAAAGATGCTAGTCCAAAATCAGCTATTTTCAGGATCCCTTCATTGTCGAGAAGAAGATTTGAACCCTTGATGTCACGATGCAGGACCCTCTGGTTATGACAGTGCTCAAGACCACGAAGCAATTGAGTCACATAGCATTTGACCTACACTCGTCAAAAAGCATATCTAGAATGATATATACAAAACCAATTAAATATATAAGTAGAGAGAGATAATAGATAGATGGATAGCTAAATATAGTGAGATAGAGAGAGATACAGACAGACAGAGATTTCCATCATACGAATCATGATATGGATCATGGAGCTCTGAAAGTGTTATATGCATTTTCATATATGGTTGATATGAATGCAACATCAGATGGGGATGACTGATACCAACATTTTAAGCATGCACAAAGCAAATAGCCATGAGAAAACCTGTAATTTTAATGACAGAAAAATGGACAAAATAAAAATCGAGACTTGAGTACCAGAATCTATGAATTTCAAAATAAAGAATTCTCGACAATGGAGAAGGTCAAAATATGCAATGACAAAATATTAAATTACCTGAGGCTCTGTGAACTCTATTCCTGGGCATGCAGCAAGCCCTGCTAAATCATGTTCCATGTACTCAAAAACAAGGTACAAACTACAAGACATCCTGGAAGTGACAAGACCCTCAAGCTTCACCACATTGGGGTGGTTCAGTCTTCGAAGTATAAGAATCTCCCGAGCCATGAATTTCACACTCTCTGGTTCTAAGTTATCAAATCTGACTTTCTTTAGGGCCACTATCTTTCCCGTGATGATATCCCGGGCTTTATAAACATTGCTATATGTTCCTTGTCCAATCTGCATGAAAGAAATGACATCCATAGGCTTAACATAGCGAAAAGGTCCTTCTCAAATTGAAAATATTTAAAACTTTAAAATATGTGCAAGAATGAAAACTGTTCATTCATCGCATTCAATAGAAACAATGGAATCAGATGCAACCACTATAGCATCCATGTTCTTTTTATCACCTTTTTATCCAACATTTCTTTGTGTTTCTCTGGGGCTTTTAGCAAATTATTTAGATGCAGATATTAAAGGAAAAGTAACCTGAGATCTAACTCATCTATGTCATTTGATCAACATTAGAATAGTCATTTAATGGAGTTCGTGGCCCTGGTGACTATCCATGTAAAACCTCTTTAACTAGCAACACTGAGTGCCTTCCAGTTGTGCTGTGGGAATGAATCCTAAAACCTCTGTAAAAGAAATAACAACTAAAAGTATAACAGAGGAACCTGCTTGAAGAAAAGGACAATAGAAATGACACCCTAAACCCCTCAGCCACAAACAGATAATTATATAAATAAATGACAAATAGAGGATAAGAGCTAAGTTAATAGAAGATAAACCAGTTGAAAAAGTGCACCTTAGAAACCAATGTACTTAGAAAACAATGTCAAAAAACGAAAAAGGAAAAAGTAGCACAGCCATAACACACAGAATAATAGCCGAAAGAGAAATACAAAAAAGGAATTATAGCTGTCTTGAGATAAAAAATAGAAACCAAGGAAGATAAAACCATGATACACAAACTCTATCATTCTTTTCAGGAGGTGCAGGCCTTCCCTAGCCTTATACATTACCAGATGATTATATAACACAGTAGGAAACAGAGCACAGTAAAATTAATCGAAGTGTAAAAAGCAATGGGGTTGAGTCAAGGTGGTAGCACCACACCTGTGACTCAGCTACCGGTCTCGGTTTCCGTTCCTACCATTGCTCCTTTCAAAAACTACCAACCGTTTCAAAAAATTGCTAACCCCCCACTAACGGTTAACGTTCAAATATATATAGAGGAATAACATAAAAATGCTGCTTTAAAGCTCTTTCATAGAAAAGTAAAATAAAGAAGAGATGCAGAAAGCACCACCAGGGTAAAGATAGAGGAATACCAAACAGAAGAACATAAAAAACAGCCTACAGAGAAAAAGGAAAAACAAAATACAACTAATTAAAACTCGTAACAAACAAAAAACAGTACTGCGAATTAAAGTGAGAAAAAAAAAAAAGGTGATCCTTAACTGTAAAATACCAGAATTAAGAGAAAAAGAAAGGGAAAATGATGTTGACCAAGACAAGGGAAGAAAAAAGTGACAAAGTAAGCCACAACAAACAGATAAGAATTTCTTTTCTGTTTTTAATAACAGAATAAGAACAAATATCAGGAAAAAAACAAAAAAAAAGGAAAGTGAGAAAGATAGTTGTAACAAACAGAAATTTAAATTTCAAGAGCCAAAAGTAGCGAGAGAGAGAGAGAGAGAGAGAGAGAGACTACCACTACCACAAAAATCATTAGCAACAAAATCACAAGAAGAAGAAACAACGGACTCAAGGAAAGATTAAAAACATGCGAAATGAAGAATCAACAGAGCAAAAGAAAGAGAATTTACAGATAATAGGCTAACTACCACTACTACTAGTTGTAATAACAATAACAACAAAAGATGAAGATCAAGATGATGACCATGATCATGCTAAGAAGCAATAAAACATAAATTACAAAAACAAGAAGAAGAAGCATATGAGCAAAGCGGAAGAAGTACCAAGTGATCAAATAAGACGATGAATCAAATGATCGAACAAAAGGAAAGAGAATGTGACCTTATCAAGCTTTTCAAAGGTATCAGCTTTTCTGGGTACCCACCCTCTAATTGCCTCTCCTGCAACTGCAGAGAGCCAAGCAGGCCAACCAGCTGCTATCTGCTCTCCAATCAAATTTCCAGGAGGATTGCTCAATCTAGGGTTTGCTTTATGTCTCCTTCTCTCTCTCTTCTCCACGACCGCCAAATCACCTCCATTTTGGCGGGCTTTCTCCTTCTTAACCCTAACATCGTTCTCTATTTCCAAAGCCTCTGTTTTGGCAGGAATTTCCTTATGGTCACCCGAAACCGGTTTCCCAGCAGCCGGTTTTTGGCCGGAAAACCGCTTTCCAAAGACGCAGCCCATGCTTAAGTTACCTGAAAACCGTTTTCAAAGACAAAAAACCACTTCTGTGCTGGGAAGTGATGAGATAAGGCATTTTTTATGCCCTAGAGAGAGGGAATCGCGGTTTCGGTCGAAAGAGGAAGCTGTTTTGAGGGTTTTAGGTTAGCGGAGTGTTTGCCTTCGTCTTAAACCACCATAGATGGGAGCTTTATGGTTTTGAAGGAGCGTTATGCAGCGAAGTTCGTCGAAGGCTTCGAAAACAGCGAACCAATACAGTGATCCTCTCTGTCTACTCCTCTGAACCCTTTCTCTCTCTCTCTTCAAAACCAAGAACCAGTAATTCTGCTTTCAGGATTCAGTTTCTTCCTGATTCAGCGCTCCTACCCTTCTCCTCACCATTCTTCTCTCTCTTCCCTACTGTCGTTGTGTATTCCTCTCTCTCTTCGATCCTACCCGTTCCTCTGTTTTCCTCTCTCCTTGCACAGATCCTACCCCTGCCTCTATATTCCTCCCTCTCAGCGCTATTGCCTGTGTTTTTCTCTCTTCTTCTTGTACGTGTTTAATTTTCAGAGGTCTGCTCACCTCTCCCCATTTTTGACTGGCGCGTGAAGTAGGTCCTCTCTCCGTTGTCTCTCAGCTCGGTCGGTGTTTGTTTCTCTCTCTACTGGTGTGAGTTGTTTCTCTCTCTCTCTACAAGATTTTCTCTCTCTTGTAAATGTTAGCATTTAATTGAGAAGGTCAGACAGGGTTGGAGTGGGATTTGCTCCGCTTCTTCTCTCCTTTTGAATGGAAGACGAGGCTTGCCACGTCATCATAAAGGCCATCGGAGTAGCTAAACTTTACCATTTTACCCCTATATTTACTATTTTACCCCTAATAGTCCAGGACGGGGTGGTGGCGGCTTTTAATGGGCCTGAAATTCTCATTGAATGCTTTGAGTTGTGGGTAGGTTTGGACTCTTGGGATACATACCCCACTCGATCAACGCCCTTTTTATTTTCTCTCTCTCAATTTTTGTGTTACCGCAATATTTTTTTTTTTTTTTTGGAAAAAGTTTATTTATATAGAGCCTAGGCGTCCTAATCAATCAAATTCGATTGCATTTCAAAAATTTCACTGGAAGACGATTGTTTTGATGATCAAATATCATTGAATTGATCATCGCGATATCAAGATGCATGAATTAAGAGAAAAAATTTAGATTTCAAGTTTTATACATAATGCATTTTGTAATGTATTTTTTTACAGTCAATTTTAAATATTTTGAAACTTTTATAGATTTGTTCAATCTAAACTATTTTTTAAGAGAAAAAATTATATAAGGTTTCAACTTAAAATGTAGAATTATAGATGCACCTCACAAATCCATCGAAAATGGTTATTTCAATGTTGAAAGACCCTCTAATTGATCATCTCGACATCAAGATGTATGAATATGTAAAAGAAAAAGATTTTGAGTCACAAAAATAGTGCATCTTACAACACATTATCTAGACCGTCTATTTTCAATATTTTCACATATTTATAGATCTACATGATTTTAACTATTTTTAGAGTTTAAAATTTTATATTAGATATGAAAATACATTTTCAGACAATCCTAAGAATTTTTTACACCAAAATTACATGTTATAATAAAATTTGGAGGTGCGCCTTAATTGGATTGTTTAAAGTTCCAACCTTATTGAAACCGCACCTTTTTTTAAAGTTTTCAATTTTATGATTAGATATGGAAATATATTTTAAGGCTATCACAAATATTTCCAGTATTGAAACCATATTTCTTGATACGATTTAAAGATGCGCTCTATTTTGATTATTTGGAACTTGGCTCTATACACTCTCTCTACTTTGTTTTTATGGGTGCGGTTTATATAGGGCGTGGGCTCTAAACAATCAAATTAGAGCCTACCTTCAAATCGTGTCGAGAAATGGGGTTTCAATACTGGAAATCTGTGTGATAGCTTTGAAATATAATTTCATTTTTATTTATAGTGTTTAAAGCTTTAAAAATAGTGTAGATCGACAGATCTATGAAAATTTGAAAATATTAAAAATTGACAGTCAAAAAATGCATTACAAAATAAACTATTTCCATAACTTGAAATCCATTTTCTTCTATGTCCATACATCATGATGTTGAGATGATTAATTTGAGGATATTTGGGCATCAAAACAACATTTTTTAGTGAAATTTTCGTGGTAGGCTCAAATTTGATTGTTTAGAACCTGGGCTTTATATAAACTTTTATTTATTTTTATTGGATGAGGTTTGTATAGAGCAGAGGCTCTAAGCAATCAAATTAGAACCTACCGTCAAATGGTGCCAAGAAATGTGGTTTCAATACTAGAAATATTTGAGATAGCATTAAAATATGTTTCCATATGTAAATATAAATTTTAAAGCTTAAAAAAAAACATAGATCGAGCATAGCTATGAAAACTTGAAAATTGACGGTCCAAAAATGCGTTATAAGATTCACTATTTCCAAAACTTGAAATCCATCTGTTTTCTCATGTTCATACATCTTGATGTCGAGATGATAAATTTGAGGATATTTGAGCATCAAAACCACCTCTTTTAATGAATTTTTTGAGGTAGGCTCCAATTTGATTGTTTAGAGCCTCGACTCTATATAAACGTTTCCTTTTTTATTTTGCTTAATGTGGTAACCGCGTCGTGCCTTACCTCTTTTCTCACTGTGTTGGGGCAGTAAATGGAAGATATGAAATCTATGGATGACTTTTAAATGGAAATATTTACTTGATTACCTATCTCCTCTTTTTTCTTGGGGGATGAGTGTGATGGATTTTCTCTCTCTACTTCGTAGTAAGAGTACGCCTTTTCTTGGGGTTGGGTCCTACTCTCTCTCTCTCTCCTTAAATTAGGTGCAAATCTCTCTCTATATGAATGCTAGAAAATGTGTTTCCAATGGCTTTCTTGTTTGATGGGTCCTCTCTCCATTGTAATTAAAACTCCTTAACTTTGTACTAAACCAGTGTTTCAAAAATTGAACAGGCTTCGGAGACAGGTTAAGTGCCAGTTACTTGTTCAACCGGGCACGTCTTGGCATGTTAAATAAGTGTTAAAAATAAATAAATATAAAAAAAATCTAAAAATTTATTAAAAGTATATTTAACTTATAATTAAACAATTTTGTACTCAAAGTATCTTTAAAATTTTTCAAAAAAATATAAAAATAAATATTTATGACCAAAAACTTTCTAATATTTGTCAAAATGATAAAAAAGCATTAACAAACACAATACAAGCAAATCTCTATTTTGAGATTTTATGTAAATTTTTTAAAATAATTTAAAATATCTAGCCGGATCATCAAAACCGGCCAATGCCCAATTCCGATCTAACCGGTCGGTTTCTAGTTGAACCTTCTGAGTTTGGGAACACTGGTACTTAACTTCTAAGTTCTAATTATTACTTTTTTTTTCTTTTGAACACTAAACATAAGATTTTGTTTTTCCATAATCTAAAGATATATGTAATTAACAAAGCAAGAATCAATATTTGTGTAACTGACATAAAATAATTGAAACAAGAATAAAAGAAGCAATGACGATGACGATGTAATTAGATTCTGTCTCTCGTTATTATGAAATAATATATGTCATCATGAAAATAAATGTCTCCCTAACTCAAACAGAATGCTTGCCCTTTAGCAAATAATGCACTTAAAACCTTTCCTCCCTCCATCCTCTCAATTCAAAAAGAACGATTTATAAGTGGGACCAAATGTTTTCCCGGGACGGAAACTCGACTCAGAATCTCTATATTTGCAACTATTCTCCCCATACCTGTTTCTCTCTCTTCCCTCTCCCTCTCCCTCTCTCTCTCTATATATAAACATGAACACCTCAAAAAATCGACCGAGAACAACAATTAATACAAGAGTCTTCTGGTTCGAAAATCTTCCGAATCGACCGAGTTGGATCAGAACTGATGGAAGCTAAATCATATCGAACCAGAAAGGTGGACAATTTCGGATGAAAAATTCCCAAATTCCCAAAATCCGAATTCTCTTGATTTTCTATATTTTCTCATTCTCTTGTGAATTGTAGCCTTGTCTCATAAAAAACTCATCCGAGTTGGACCAAGTGAGTCAGAATCGGAGTGCTAGGCCGGACCGGTTCCGATTTTCTTAGACACTGCACCGGATCATGGGGAAACCAGGTAATTCTAACACAAAGTGAGAAGGGATAGAAACGGTAATATTGCTCCATTTTTTGAGATATATGATGACCAACTTGTATTAATTGGCATATTATTTCCACTTTCTCTCATTTCTTTTGGGTATTATAACTCTTGGATTCAATTGAGACACTATATTAAATCCGAACCGTCCAAGTAATTAATAGATCTACCATTATTAACACGTGCGTTCTCACGAGAGTTTCCCACGAATATGTCTTTTTTATGGACATACGTGTAATGACTTTTTGGTGGTCCATCATGTAATATCAAAGAAAACTTACAATTAGCCCACCCAAAGTCAATGGTTTCTTGTTGACAATTGGAATGATTTGTCGCTCTTCTTTGTAATAATCCTATCATTTGGTTGGCGGTAATTGTTATTGTTTATGTTAATATTTGGTAGCTCAATTGGATAAACATCTACTATGGTAATTGTTATTGTTTATGTTAATATTTGGTAGCTCAGTTGCATAAACATCTACTAATTAAATAGGGACTTAATAATTAAAAATAATAGAAAAATACCAGTTTGATTGTATATTACTATTATTTTGTTTTACTAATTTAAAATCAATTGACATAAATTAACCTTTATTGACTCAAAGGCCTTATGGTTGGTGCACCTGTCTCTCTTTTAGCAAGGCAGAGGTAGCTCCCATCAATTCTTTAAAAAGGAATTAATTTATATAAGGTGTGAACCTTGTACTATAGAAATATAACATGCATATTAAAAATTTTGTTCAAATTGTTACTTTAATTTTGTAAAACTGTTCAATTGATCAGCTTTGACACCAAGATATATGCATATAAACATAAAATAATTTAAGTTTTTAAAATAGTCCATTTTATAACATATTATATAAATCATACTTTTTAAAAATATTTAGACATTTATAGATCTGCTCAATAGGTACTAATTTTAGAGCTTTAAATTTCAGAAATAGGGATGAAAATAGATTTATAGGTCATGAGAAGGAGTACTAAAATTGCATCTATTAGCAAGATTTAGAAGTGTGTCGTACTTCAAACGATTAATTGCTTAAGGTTGATTCCATATATAAACTGCAACCTTTTGAGAAAAGGGATCAGTCATCGACTCGGACACCTATTGATCCCATTCTAATTGTTGATTCTTGAGTCGGCTTACTGATTCCCACTGCAGAGGAATCACATAGTGAAAACTTAAATAGCTGCCTTGAACTATGTCTTCATATGCGAAAATTTCGACATAACAAGTGTAACCTCCGCTTTGTTTTCCCGCTTAAACTCATCATTCAATGGTAGATAAAGGTATCCCTTCAAATTGTAACGTGGATGCCAGACTGGCCACAAGACCGCTCTTGTAAACATTACCGGTGGTGCCAACTCGTGAAACGGCAAAAACTAAAAATTCTCAAGGAAAGCTTTGGAAGAAGGGTTTTTTTGATTAAAAGAGCGAGAGATTTAGAAATGGGTTTTAGAAATAAAGAGAAAATGAATAAGAAAAGAAGAGGAGGGGGTGAACCTCAAGCCGTGCACCTAGGCCTGGCACCTGAAGTCCGAACCGATTCATA